GAAGGAAACGAGCCAGCGAGGAGCACAGCCAACGACCAGCGCCACTTCCGCCGGAAGCCGTCCTCGGACACTTCCGCTTCCGGGACCCCATCCCCCGGAAAGAGCTCTGGCGCAAGCCCCGCGCCCACCCTGGGGCACACCGCTCCGCTCCGCGGTCCCCCCGCCCCTAGCCGGGCTCCGGAAGCTGAAGTGGGGCAGCACCGGGCGGACGGTGGCGGAGGAAAGGGGCAAGGCTGGACCCACGTGCTCAGTAGCCTCGTGGCGCTGCTGTGTGCGCCGCCCGGGGCAAGGCGGGGGCAAGGCGGCGGCGGCGGCGGCGCCCACGCGTGCAGACGGCGCGATGCGCCCTGTGCGGCTGTGTTACCTCTGGGGTCTTTCTTCTCTAGCAGCAAAGGTGGGTTTTAATGTGGTGGACCAGACGTGCTGAAGGCCCCTGTGCACCAGGCGGGGTAGTTTAACACGCATGAGCAAGAACAACCGCTGCCTTGTCTGCATGCGGATTCTGTTCTGTTAGTTACTACTTCCATGTGAGCTAACACGTGCTAAAACCCATCTTTTTTCCTAGTGGGGGGCACACCTTTACTCCTTAACAGTGCCCCTAGCTCGGGCTCCAGCAGGCCCTACTTCACCGTCTGCAGTGCGTCCCCAATGGATGACAAGGCCTGATCATTTGTTTTCGTTGCATTGAGCGTTGTGACCTGACTAGGAGCCCAGTGTACACGGTCGATACCTTCAGAATAGTTTTGAGTACTTTATAGGCATCAACAAGACCTTGATTTTACCATAGTTTTTCAGGATTTACAAATTTCAAAATAAATCATCTTAAAAATAACCCATTTTGATATCTATACTAGTAGTTTCAAAGTTGTATTCTGATGTAGCACACAGACAGTAGCACACAGTATATCATGTCTAAGTTAGGGTTATTTGACTTAACTCACACTGCTGCACAATCTAAATTTAAGCCAGTGGTTTGATTGGAGTTCTGCTTTTAGTCCCACAGCTCCAACATTTATTTTTATTCCCAATGTGATACCATCAGCAATTCCATATTTTAGGTCTACTATTTCAGCAAACAGGAGAGAGTTTCTCAGCCTGTAATATCTGATGTATTGCTTATAAATAGTTAATCAGAAATGACTATTCTGCAATAACTCCCCAGCTAACAAGCCCTTAACTGTAGACCTTTTGGTGGTCATCAGCAGGTACTACAGTATACCTAGATTTCTAAATGCATTTCCGAGACATTTTGCAGTTGTCTTTATAAAGCTTTTCAGCCAGTGCTAGTACAGTTTGACCCATCTTTAAGACAATTTTTAGCCATCAAGTTGCAGAGTATTCTACGTTAGATAAATGATATGTCGACTTCAGAAAGCTGAATAAGATGGCAATTTCTGGATCTCTTTATGTTACATTTTATTGAGTAATCTAATAATAGGAGCATCTTGTGGACAAAGTGACACTTTTTTTCTCCCATATATTTCACAGATGTAGCAGCATGGTCACATAGAGGTAGGGAATCTATTCCAGATGTCTTACACCCTCCAAGAGGGGTTGGGAACCAGGAGTTGATGGAGGAAAGGAAATGAAGAAAAAACAGAGGAGTGACAAAAACATTAAAGGGGGAAAGAAACAAAAATGAAGACAGGGAAGAAAGAAATGAAGGGCAGAAGTAATAGTGGTCTTCAAGGTGAACGTTTGCCCCACTGGATGATGCTGAATGTAATAATTAGGTACAGAATAAATAAATTCAGTTATTAGATAAAGGCCACATTCCCCTCATGAGCACTATGCAAACTACCCATTGACATAGGTGGGAGAGCTGTGGATTTTGGGGGAGTACTTAGTCCTAAACGTATAGGCTGGGTAAAAACCATAATTAAAAATAAAATTCCGACCTCTCCCCAGAATGAATGTGATACATGTGTGTGCATACTAGAATCATTTAATGTTTTTTCCCTATAATCTTGCCAAGTATCAGAAGTAATTGTGTGAACATCAGTGCAACAATACTTAGCATAGAATATTTCAGCAATTTCTTGGAGCTGCTTTTTCTGGACCCGACAAGGAGAGAGGGGAATTCTTGATTTAGTCCTAAGTGAAATACAGGATCTGGTTCAAGAGGTGAATATAGCTGAAATGTAATACAATTTAACACTGTTGTAGGGGAAAAAATACCAAAGAAAGTCACCACAGTAGCATTTAACTTCAAAAAGGGGAACTACACAAAAATGAGGAAGCTAGTTAATTGGAAATAAAAAAGAACAGGCACAAGGATGAAATGCCTGCAAACTGCATGGAGGCTATTTAAAAACACCATAATAGCATCTCAAACTAAATGCATACCTTAGCCCAAAAAATTCAACAATGGTCAAACAGCAGAGTAAAAGAAGCAGTTAGATTAAAAAATACAGTCTTTAAAAATTAGAAGCCCAATCTTTGTGAGGAAAATAGAAACTGGTAAGTCAAGTGTAAAACTATAATAGGGCAGGCCAAGAAAGACTTTGAAGAGCAACTAGTTAAGGACACAAAAACTAGCAAAAAATTGTTTTTTAAGGACATCAGAAGCAGGAAGCCTGCCAAACAGTCAGTGGTGGCACTGGATAATTGAGGTGCTAATGGAGCACTCAGGATGAGGTTTTTGCAGAGAAGCTAAATGAATTCTTTGCATCAGTCTTCACTGCAGAGGATATGGGGGAGAGCCACATCCGAGCCATTCTTTTTAGGGGACAAATCTGAGGAACTGTTCCAAATTGAAATTGATTAAACAAACAGTAATAAGGCACCAGGCCAGATGGTATTCACCCAAGAATTCAGAAGTAGCTCATATTAAGTTGTAGAACTACTAATTGTTATATATTAACCTACTGTTTAAATTTGCTTGTGTGTGAGAGGGTAGCTAGCATAATGCCTGTTTTTAAAAAAGGCTCCAGAGCTGCTCCTGGCAATTAGAGGGCAATTACAGCTTACTTCATTACCAGGCAAATTAATTTAAACTATAATAAAATTATTAGATATAGTTGGGGAAAAGTCAGTATGGCTTTTTTAAAGTGAAAGCATGCTTCAAACTATTAGAATAGTTGAATAGGTGTACCAAGCTATTAGAATTTTTTGAGTGAGTCAGCAGGCATGTGGATATAGTGTACTTGTCAAAAGCTTTCTGAAAGTCCAAGATTCCTCACTAAAGGATCTTAAGCAAACTAAGCAGTCACAGGATAAGACAGTAGGTCCTGTCATAAATCAGCAACCGTTATGTAAGCTAGGAAACGGTAGGAATAAATATTTTCACAATGGAGAGAGGTAAATAGCAGGGTCCCTCAAGTATCTGTACTGGGACCTGTGCTGTTCAACATACTCATAAATGATCTGGAAAAAAGGATGACTAGTAAGGTGTCAAAATTTGCAGATGATACAAAGTTACTCAAGAGAGATTAAAATTGGAAAAAGTGCAGGGAAGGGCAATGAGAATGATTAGGGGTGTGGAGCAGCTTCCATGAGGAGATTAAAACGACCTGCACTGCTCAGCTAAGAAAAGAGGCAACTAAGGGGTACTATGATAGAGGTCTATAAAATCATAAATGGTATGGAGAAAGTAAGTGTTATTTACCCCATCACCTAAAACAAGAACTAGGTGTCACCTCATGAAATTAATAGGCAGTAGGTTTAAAACAAACAAAAGGAAGTACTACTTCACACAACCTTGTGGTACTTGTTGCCATGGGATGTTGTGACTGTCAAAAGCATAACTGGCTTAAAAAAAAAAAAAAAAAAAGATACGTTCATGGAGGACAGGTCCATCAACGGCTGTTAGCCAAGATAGTCAGGGATGCAACCCTACACCTCCAACTGCCAGAAGCTATGACTGGACGATAGAGGATGGATCAGTCAATAATCGCCCCATCTGGCACTGGCCACTGTCAGAGGTAAGATACGGGGCTATATGGACTATTGGTCTGACCTTGTATGGCCATTCTTATGTTCGGTTTTTGACTTTGTTTATATAGTTAAAGTTCTTCAAAAAAGCAGGACCTTATAAAAAGCAAGTGTTATAATAGCATTTCTTGATCTTAAATATGTAATTTGTATGTTTAAATTCTGTTATGATTAATTGATTCTGTTATGTGCAAACCAAATTTTTCATACCCATTTCAGTAAAGCAACATGAAATTTAAAGGAATACTATTGCATTCAGTTTAAACTTTGATTTAGCTTTAAAATTATTCTGTTTGATGACAAATATTCTTTGAATTCTAAATATTAAAAAAAAATGCTGTGTAGCTAAGATATTTTAAAAAATCCCACTATGTATAACCAAAGCATGTTATATAGCACAGTCAGCAAATCCTATTCCCAAGAACAGTGCCAACCTTATCAAAGCTACTGGTACATCTATGTACATACATACATACAAACACCCATGCTTCAGACACTCAAACATAGCTGTAAATGAAGTGGAGCTACAAGCCAACATTTTCAAACCTGAAAGCCTAAAGACATTTAGATGTCTAGTCAACTCCTATGAAATTTTCAAATGTGGGTGCCTAAAGCCAGTGTCTTAAATCCACCTTTTGACATTTAGATCAGTGGTGGGCAACCTGTGGCCCACAGGCCGCACGCAGCCCATCAGGGTAATCCACTGGCGGGCCACCAGACAGTTTGTTTACATTTGTATGGCCACCCGCAGCTCCCAGTGGCCGTGGTTCACCGTTCCCGGCCAATGGGAGGTGCGTGAAGCAGTGCGGGCCACAGGGATGTGTTGGCCACTGCTTCACACAGCTCCCATTGGCCAGGAACAGTGAACCGCGGTCACTTGGAGTTGTGGGCGGCCATGCAAATGTAAACAAACTGTCTGGCAGCCTGCCAGCGGATTACCCTGATGGGCTGCAGGGTGCCCACCACTGATTTAGATAGTGCTCTGATTTTCAAAGGTGCTGAACACATGTAACTCACACTGACTTCAGTGGGAGCTGCAGGTGCACAGCGCCTCTGAAAATCAGATCTCTTCTATCTAGATGTCTAAATCTGGATTTAGGGGCCTAGCTTTAGGCCCTCGGGTTTGAAAATTTTGAGTATATTGATTTGTGTTCCCTAAGAAAGCATAGAAATTATCATAAGCCATTCACCACTATCATAGAAGTTGACTAGAAGATGCCTAAAATATGGATATACATATTAAATACATTTTAAAAACTATAAAAATGCTTGCACTTCTTAGGTTTCTAACAAGTAGTTTATTCTAATCCTTTTAATTAGAAGTATAGCACTATAGAATAAGGTGTTAAGTGATTTAAAAATCACTAGAACATGAGCAAAGCAATTCAATATGTTTTACAATACTAACAAATCAGGTTTTCTACAAATAAGATATACACATAGTACTAATCTTAGTATCTTTTCTTTTTAATTCTAATAAATGCTGAAGGGAGCTGTTTGATAATGGATTTGTTGATGTTCAGAAAAAATAGTGGTCATACATTTCTACCAGGATCAACTCTGGAAATAGAATATATGGCCAAGATTACTGACAATAACTGACGTGGGTGAAACAGTTTACTTTCAAAGCACTGGAAACTTGAAGTTCAAAATAAAAGTTAATCAACATTAATACCTCAATTAAGCTCACTAACCAAACATTTTGAATGTCTTTTTGTAATCAGTTATATTGAAAAGATATTTTTCAAAACAATATGTCAGCAGTGACTAGAACCAGTGATCCAGATGCACACAATAGCATACATATATTCATTGTGAAGGGTTTCCCAAATCAAAGCTTTTTCTGCTTCTCCACCTTAGCAGTTTGATGAAGTTAAGACTTGCACTGAAGATTTTATCATGCTGAAAAACCATTTTGTAGAAGGTATCAATAGGTAGATCTCCATTTGGATCTGCGTATTTCAGGGTTGTCATTGGTGTGTACAGGGTGTTGGTCTGATGGCGAAAAGGTGGATTTTCTGCAAGAATTATCTTTACTGTATGCTGTTAGAATGAGAAATGGGATCTTTAGAGAACATCATTCATCCAAATAGATGTACAAGAATCAACAAACAGAATGACTGAGCAAAGTACCAAAGGTAGCTTTGTAAAATCCTTTAGGAAATTTGACCACATTTTAATCAGGCAGTTAATCCATTAAGACTTTCTTAGGATAATTTAGAAACCTCAAAAAACATGTTTCTCTTTAAGACTAATCAGCATAATTTTATTTTCCAACTTTATTAGAAAATATAGCGGAAGTTTATATTAAACAAAAGTAATATATTTACTATTTAGAACATTTGAATTTGAGATCAGTGGTGGAATGTGTGATTACAAAGCCAGAAATCTGTTTTTTACTCCCACAGGGATTTTTCTCTAAAACTTGCTGTTTGCATCAATAAGACAGGGTAGGTAAAATGGTATCTTTTATTAAACCAACTTCTGCTGGTGGAAGATACAAGCTTTGGAGCTATACAGACATGTATCAGTGACATTTTCAGAGCATCTTTAATACTAATACTGCATCTAGTGCCAACATCAGTCCTATTTCTGAGTAAAATCATTTCCTGCTCTTGAAGTATTGGGCAAGCAGGATGGTGCAGTATGTTTGCTTGACCCTTTTATCCTTTAAAAAGCATCATAGTGATTAAATTCTGGCCCAAATGTCTCCTGTTTGGTATTATGAAAGACTTAAGCTTCATTGGGGGTCCAAGGGCTGCATTTTGGTTTTTCGTTTTTATTTGAAATGGGTATTGAGGGAACTTCAGCACAGAGTGGTTTCTTAACTAAAGCTAAAAACTACCATATAAACTACCAAAAAAGGCTCTAATACTAATTCCCAATTTGGTGCAAAACAATATTAAAAAAAATACAAAATAAAAATTGCTAGCTGGCTCCAATCTACTGCAGCACTGAACTTGGAAAGGAATAAAGGTAGGAGACCCATTTCTTTGATAGCCTTGTATAGGGTTCCATATGTAAGGGGTTTGTGGCTCCAGGGATCACTGCTGGTTAGCAATTCTGTGCTCATGCCCAAAGGGTTGTGTCTCTGTATTCTTTAAACCTGTACGTAGTGCTGTATGATATGCAATGCATGCTGAACAAATGACAAGTTCTGTCTAAGACCTTAAGAGTCTTAAAACAAAAGAAAAGCAGAGTAAGCAAGTGGTGACTAAAGCAGGAGCACTTCATGGAGCGGATTTTCAGGATATTTTTGAGGGTCAAGGAGAACCTTCTCAAACATCAGTTGAGAACATATGGAGGTGGTAAGAAAGAGGACATGAAATTACATGTAGGCAAAGGAGAGAAAGGAGGTGGTCAGATAAGCATGGGTGAAGCAAAGAAAGTGCAGGGTGAGATTCAGGGTGCATCTTCACTGCAGGGTTAACTTGGGCTCTTGCTTGGGTTTTGCCCCTATCCCATCTCTCTCTCTCTCTCACACATGCACCCCTCTCACCCAAGTTTGGTTGTGCTTTGCACCCAAGATACCTGGCTCATCTGGCGCTATACACTAAAGCTGGAGTGGTATGTTCACTCAGGCTGGTAAGCTGCCCACTTTGCAGTGAGGATATACACTGAACCTCTCAAGTGCTGATAAATGTCCAAAAGAAAAGAAGTACTTGTGACACCTTAGAGACTAACCAATTTATTTGAGCATAAGCTTTTGTGAGCTACAGCTCACTTCATCGGATGCATTCAGTGGAAAATACAGTGGGGAGATTTATATACATAGAGAACATGAAAGAATAAATCTCCCCACTGTATTTTCCACTGAATGCATCAATAAAGTGAGCTGTAGCTCACGAAAGCTTATGCTCAAATAAATTGGTTAGTCTCTAAGGTGCCACAAGTACTCCTTTTCTTTTTGCGAATACAGACTAACACGGCTGCTATTCTGAAACCTGATAAATGTCCAGTGCTTTCCCACAATTCCCCCTGTTTGCCCAAAAGGACAGACAAGTTTTCCCACAATTCACTCAGAGAGAATCAGACTGGCTTAGTGTACTGCAGTGCTAAGAACCATGGGATATAATCCCAGAAGTTTTAGCATCTCAAACAGGTGAGTATAACACTAACTCAACGCAAGCGTGGCTTTGCAGCGTGGCCACTCACACCCAAGCTAGGCAAACTTGCATGTTGATCCACTGGGTAAATTCTGCAATGAAGACATATTATGCAGGTTGAAGTTAGGGCAGGAGTCTGATTCTGATTTAGAAGCTCTTGCTTAGAAGAACTCAGCCTAAAGGAAGGGTCTCTGCTGATTTGTTGTTTGTTCAAACTACAAGCGTTTGACAGAGATATATTTTCAACTTGGCATGCAAAGAGTGAGTTATCTCAATTTCAGTTGGAGTAACACACATATCCTTATACGTCAAGATCAGAATGTAGCTGTAAAGTTCTAGCTGCACTCACTTGTATCTGGAAGAATTAATTGCATGCATCTAAGTTTTCCAACTGTATATTGCTGTAAAAGCTACTAAAGTGCTTCATCATTTAGAAGTGATTAACTGTGGAATTATTAAAAATAAAATACTAAATACAGAACAAGACTGAATTCACAGATATGGTATCAAATGTGTGAATCAGGATGTTTCATATTTACCAGTTTACAAACAACATGAGATTCAGGAGCCTGACACGATTTAAATCAAATTCAAATTAAAAAAATACATTGTATGGGGATTTTCAAAAGTGCACAGTGTTGGCCTAACTTTGCTCCCATTGAAGTCAGCGGTAAAGCTCTCATTAACTTCAGTGGGAGCAGTGTTATGCCAATGCTGAGGGTGTTAAGAATCACACCCTATAGATCTAAGGTAAGACACGAACAAAATCACTGGGACTCTATGTAAGTTTCCCAGTCCTGCACAGGCAGATCCTTATGCCAGGGCAGAGTCTTATTGAAGTGAATATGGCTGTGTAAATGCATACAAATCTGTGTACACAAAACCAGTTGCAGGATCAGGGCCTTACCTAGTATTTCATATATTGGAGGTGGACTGTGTGTCCGACCTTCACTAATGCTGCTCGTAAACATTTAGAATCCATTTCTGCTCTTAGATTCCAAGATGCCCTTAATCACGCACTGTCCTTTTTAACTTATGGTTGATCTGAAGGCTGCAAACTTTCCTGTATTTCAACCTCTCCACAGGTTTCAGAGGAACAGCCGTGTTAGTCTGTATTCGCAAAAGAAAAGGAGTACTTGTGGCACCTTAGAGACTAACCAATTTATTTGAGCATGAGCTTTCGTGAGTAGCTCACGAAAGCTCATGCTCAAATAAATTGGTTAGTCTCTAAGGTGCCACAAGTACTCCTTTTCTTTTGCGAACCTCTCCACAGTGATTCAGGCCCTTGTAACCTCAAGCATTCATTTACCCTAGAGTTCTACTTTGGCCTACTTTTGAAGAGCATGTCAGCTGGCACAATGCAACAGCTTAAATTTGAGAGGTGAGTCTGTAAGACTGATGTTCCATACCCTACGTTGTCTACCTACTTGCTTCTAGAAGCAGTTCATGGTGTTGGTTGTGCTCTATAAAGTCTCAAATATCAGAGATTGCCTCCAGCTATGTTCTGCTGTGATCTGCTGCTGCGTTTCTGTTGTTGGTTCCTGGGATAGTCTGCTGGATTTCACATGGGTGTAGGGGTTTGCACTAGGGGAATCTGAGCAAGAGAGGGGCCATAAACAATGGTAGTAACCCATCTAGATTTCTGGTGGCCGTGCACACTTGTGTCATTCTGACTTCACTGGGTGATTAGATCACATTGCAACTATCCACTCAATGGTATTACAGATTAAGATTCACAGTTGCCTTTTAAAACTGGGAGAACATGATCTTTCTAAATTCTAGATCCAGTAAATGCTTGAGGTTGTGCTTAATGAAGTCTAGTGGGTCAACAACCAAACAGAGCATTCTAAGACTGCACAAAATAGTTTGACTAATTACCTCTGCTATGTCCTCTGCACTCTGTCCCAGGCTTTGGAAAATCTGTTTGTAATTTTTAAGGTAAATATTAGTAAACATGTCAGCAGTTTCTTCATCAGCAGCCGAAAGATCCATTTTCATTCCATCTTCAAACACCTTTTTTTCAAATTCTGTGATCACTGGGCCTGGCTCAATCAGACTTAGCCTGTTACAAGAACAATAACATATTGGTGATTTGTCCTTCTATATGGGAAACGTGTAAAGCTTTATATATGTAAAGCTTCTATATGGGAAACGTGTATATCCTTTATATAGGTAGTGACTGGCTGCAAATAAATGAGCACTTGTTAACATTTTTTAAACAATACATTCTTTAAGGGGGAGATCCATACCACAGCTCTTGCCCTGTGTATCTCAGACAGGCACTGGGGGTTTCCCTGGGAGAACAACACTGGCTGCACTGCTGGGGAGCAGTGGAACTATCAGTCTAGGGCAGAAGTGGGAGCAGGAGACAAAGCCTCAGCTGCTGGCTCACAGCTGTAGATCTCTGTAACAAAACCTAAAAATGATGGTAAACCTCACTGCCTTTTGGACAAAGTGCTAAATGGCTCTCTTTGCTATCTCTCCTACATAGTAGTAATAGTAGAAGTATTTAAAAGAAAGAGAGAGAGAGATCACCCAAAGATTCTCTTTGGTTACCTCTTGGGTGTATATAATTCTGGAAAGCACTCTTATTCTGTGGTACCCACAAAGTACAGTACAAATGCTTAGGCAGAATGTCCAGCTGCCCAGACTTTTGCTGCTGTTGGGCTCGCTGGACCTATGGAGGAGGAGCAGGATTTGCCCAGAAGTGCATAATAGTAAAGCTAAGAAATACTTAAGGTCCCTGCACCAGTTCCTTCTCCAGCTCCATTCTCAAGTTTTAAGTATGAAAAGTCCTTCCTGTTTACAACCGTAGTTATCTATTGAACAAGGTTTTTATACAAAAGATTTTTGGCCAGTTCTGTGGCTGGGTTAAACTGTTATGGAATAACTGTACTTTGCCCCTTATTCCTAAGGGCTATACCAGGCTATTGATTTTTAAGCAGAACTTCCAAATTAAAACTTCTGCACAGTGCTGCCTTTGCTTACATTATCGCTGGTCACTATCATTATCGCAGTTCCACATTTCTCCATGCAGCCTTTTTCTTCTTCCTTCTTTCATGCTGCCTCCTATGCCTTTAATGTCCTCTAATCCTATATGCCACAAAGATTTCTTGTCTCCTTTAAACCCCTTCTCAGAGCCCACCTATTTACACATACAGTAATTCTCTACAAAATTCTCATTAGAAACTAATACATTTTAAGTAATGATATAAAAAAAGTTATGAACTACCATGTAAACTACCTCACAATCTTATTTTGTGCATCCCTTTTGCTCATGCTCTGTTCACTTAGACTGTAGGCATCTCCTCTTTCTGTCTTGCTTTGATTGATTTCCATTGTAAACTCTTTGAGGCAAGGCCCCATTTTTATTCACTATTGAAAGTGCTACATACCACTATGTTGTTATATAAACGTCTCCAATAATCATTATAATGAAAGTCATTATTGATCATTTTCACTAATGTATCTGGGTACTACAGATTAGAGAAAACATTCTCTTTGAGGTACACATATTACATGACCACATCCCCATAGTACGGTAGATGAGAGTCCAGGTTTCCAGGGATGTATATGAAAGCTATACATATTTTTTCAAAGCTAAACTTACTTCTAATCTGAATGCTGTAGGTCATGTTTATTTTGTCATTTAAATGTTTGCAGTACTTTGGTAGGGAGGGCAAGGGAACTTCTATAAGAAGGTTTCAATGGCTTCTTGTGAATGTATAGCTTCAATTCAAGAGGAAAAATTCTTCATCCTCTTTCTCCGGGACAGCAGCCTGCTATATAAGGGTTGTACGACTCCTACTAGCTCAAGATATATTTTAAAGCACAGTCTGATATGTACCTCACACCTTTGGGTCAACACTTACTGAAGTTTAAACTTGAGTGCTTGTGTGACGATGTGACTCAGCAGGGAGGGGGGAGTGTTGACCTGGGAATGTGCCCTGGGGATGGGAGACCTGAGAGCCTGTCACCTGAGCCAGGAGGGGGAGGGGGAGGTGACACCTCTGCCCAGGAATGTGAACAGAGGCTGCAGCAGGGAACCTGCGGGGTGAGTTTAGTTGGCAGTTTGGAGGCTGGGGGGAGGAACACAGGGAACCCCAGGGCTGGGGTCTAAGCTCCCTGCTCCCCCAGAAGGACGTGATTGAGGGGTCCTGGTTGTACCCACAAGCTCTGTTGTGGACTGTGTTCCTGTTGTCCAATAAACCTTCTGTTTTACTGGCTGGCTGAGAGTCTCAGTGGATCCCAGGAAGAGGGGTGCAGGGCCTGGACTCCCCCACACTCCGTGACAACTGGTGGCAGCGGTGGGATCTACTGCACCCCGTGAACGGCGCTTCCTGCAGTAAGTGACTGGGGAACAGTAAAACGAAGGGGAATTGACGGGGACCAGGCGTGCTGAAGATTCAGAGACGGTTTCGGGGGGCGGTTAACCCCTGGGAATGTGTGACCAGAGAGAAAGACTTTTGCAGTAACAGGGTCCCCCGGGGGATTGCAGCGAGCAGTCCCAGGGGCGGAGGAGTCTGCAGCTCGACCCTGGCAAAGAGGTGGTGACCTCAAGAAGGACTGGCACACTAAGGGCTTTTCCTGGAAACCGTGGGAAGCTGCCCGGCCTGCGAGTGGCCAGCAGGGAGATGTACGCTAAACGCCTTAAGAGTGACCTGGTGGAGCTGTGCAGGCAGAGGGGGCTGCGCATCGGGAGGTCCACCAAGGAACAACTGATTGCCCAGTTGGAGGAGAGGGATCGCTTGGATGACCCGATCCCTATCCCTGAGGGGAGCCGCCCGGCAGACGCAGCGTGGGCCCTGGGGCCTGACCAGGCTGGGAGGGGTCAGACTGCTGCCGAGGACATCCCGAGACCCTTCCTACCTATGTCTGGGGGAGGGGTTGGGGGAAGCCCAGCGAATACCGAGGGCACCCTGACCCCAGCACCCAGCAGGGGATCCTCCCGGCGGAGCTCCCCATCCCTGGAGCGGAGGCGGCTGGAATGGGAGAGGGAGATGAAAATGAGGGAGCTGGAGGATCATGAAAAACAACGTCAACATGAGCAGGAGGAGAAGGAGAAACAACGTCAACATGAGCAGGAGGAGAAGGAAAAACAACGTCAACATGAGCGTCAGGAGAAGGAGAGGGAGCGCCAGGAGAAGGAGAAACAAAGACAGCACGAACTGGAGCTGGCCAGGCTGAAGAGCAGTGGGGCCCCGGCTGTGGTGAGTGAGGGGGGGACCCAAGACTGCAAGGAACTTTGATAAGTGCTTCCTGGCCCAGCGTAAGGAGGGGGAGGACATAGATAGCTTCCTGACGGCCTTTGAGAATGCCTGTGAGCTGCACAGGGTTGACCCTGCAGACAGGCTCCAGTTTCTCACCCCCTTACTGGACCCCAAAGCCGTGGAGGTGTACAGCCGGATGACAGGGCCGGAGGCAGGGGACTATGAACTGTTCAAACAGGCCCTGCTCCGTGAGTTTGGGCTGACCCCCGAGATGTACCGGAGAAGGTTCCGGAGTCAGCGTAAAACGCCTGAGGTCACCTACCTACAACTGGCCAACCGGATGCAGGGGTATGCCCGCAAGTGGACAGCGGGGGCCCGAGCTAAAGAGGACCTGCTTGACCTAATTGTACTGGAGCAGCTGTATGAACAGTGCCCTTCCGACCTGAGGCTGTGGTTGGTGGACAAAAAGCTCGAGAACCCCCAGCACGCAGGGCAGCTGGCCGACGAGTTTGTGAACAGTCGGTCAGGGGGTAGCCGGGAGGAGTCCCAAAAGAACAGGCCCCCCCGATGCAGAGAGAGAGTCACCAGGGGGCCTCCCAGCGGGGAAATAGGGAGAACCCCCTCCCAAGGGGAACGCCTGGCGTCGGGCCCCTCCGACCCGCTCGAGGGGACCAACGTGACCTGAGCTGCTATCACTGTGGCCAGAGAGGCCACGTACGGTCCCAGTGCCCTGGGCTCAGGGACAAACTGAGCAGACCCAACCTACCCAGGGTTAACTGGGTAGGGACCCAGCTGGACGAGGGGCAGACGACTCAGGCAAGGGGGGCTGCCAGTTTACCACCTGCCCCGGAGGGAAGAGTACCCCAGGCCAGCTCCACCAGAGGGCTGGAGGCTCTGGACTCAGGGCGCTCAGTTTACAGGGTGGGCGCGGGGCTGTCCCTCCGGAGAGAGTGCCTTGTTCCCCTGGAGGTGGATGGGAGGAAGGTCAATGGATACTGGGATACGGGTGCGGAGGTGACGCTGGCCCGGCCCGAGGTGGTGGCCCCAGATCGGGTGGTGCCCAACACCTACCTGACCCTGACAGGGGTGGGTGGGACCCCATTTAAGGTGCCCGTGGCAAGGGTACACCTGAAATGGGGGGGCCAAGGAGGGCCACAAGGATGTGGGGGTACACCACCATTTGCCCACTGAAGTTTTGATGGGGGGAGACCTAGAGGACTGGCCAAGCAAGCCCCAGACCGCCCTGGTTGTGACCCGTAGCCAGAGCCGGCGAGGGCCACTGCTCCCTGACCTCGGGGAGGGTACCGCACCGGAGGCGCAGGACCCTACCCTGGTGGGAAGGGAGGGCCGAGGGGCACGGCTCAGAGAGGCTGAGGCCTCAGACCTGGCCACTGAGGGGGAACCGGTCCCCATCCCTTCCCCAGCTGCTGAGTTCCAGGCCGAGTTGAGGAAAGATCCCTCCTTGCGGAAGCTCAGGGACCTGGCCGACCTCAGGGTGGTACGGACCATGAGGAGAGGCTGCCAGGAGAGGTTCCTGTGGGAGAAAGGGTTCCTATACCGAGAATGGGCTCCCACAAGGGAAGTAGAGTCCTGTGGGATCAGGAGGCAGCTGGTGGTCCCCCAGAAGTATCGCCGCAAGCTCCTGTACCTGGCCCATGACATCCCCCTCGCAGGGCACCAGGGAATCCGGCGCACCCGGCAGAGGTTGCTACAGAACTTTTACTGGCCCGGGGTCTTTACCACGGTCCGGCAGTATTGCCGATCCTGTGACCCCTGTCAGAGGGTGGGGAAGGCCCGGGACAAGGGGAAAGCGGCTTTGAGACCTTTGCCCATCATAGAGGAGCCTTTCCAGAAGGTGGCCATGGACATCGTGGGGCCTCTCAGCAGGACGACCCGGTCGGGGAAGAAATACATTCTGGTGGTGGTAGATTTTGCCACCCGCTACCCCGAGGCAGTGCCCTTAGCTTCCATTGAAGCAGACACCGTGGCCGATGCGCTCCTGACCATTTTCAGCCGAGTGGGGTTCCCCAAGGAAGTCTTGACAGACCAAGGCTCCAACTTCATGTCGGCCCTGCTCCGGTGCTTGTGGGAGAAATGTGGGGTCCGGCACGACTGGGCCTCAGCTTATCACCCCCAGTCCAACGGGCTGGTGGAGAGATTTAACGGGACGCTAAAGATGATGCTGAAAACCTTTATGAACCAGCACCCACAGGATTGGGACAAGTACTTACCTCACCTGCTGTTCGCGTACAGGGAGGTGCCACAGGAGTCTACCGGATTTTCGCCTTTCGAACTGTTATATGGAAGGAGGGTGAGGGGCCCCCTGGACCTGATGAGAGACGAGTGGGAGGGGAAGGCCACTCCCGATGGAGAGTCAGTGGTGGAGTATGTCCTGATCTTCCGAGAGAGACTTGCTGAACTCATGGGCCTGGCCAGGGAGAATCTGGCCAGAGCCCAGAAGAAGCAGAAGGTCTGGTATGACCGCACGGCAAGGGCCCGTGCCTACGCCACCGGGGATCCGGTGATGGTTCTCATCCCAGTGAGAAAGAACAAACTACAGGCCGCCTGGGAGGGCCCTTTCAAGGTCGTCAAGCAGCTCAATGAGGTAAACTATGTGGTGGAGCTGTCGAACCGGGCGCACCACCGCCGGGTGTACCATGTGAATATGATGAAGCCATATTATGCCAGGGGGAATGTGGTGTTGGCCGTGTGTGGACAGTGGGAAGAGCAGGGAGATGACCCTTTAGTGGATCTATTCCCTGGGACTAGAGCTGGTTCCCCCCTGGAAACAATTCCCCTCTCGGATCAGCTAACCCCTGCCCAGCAAGATGAGGTCAGGGAGGTGCTGCATCCGTACCGACAGCTGTTTTCCAACCAGCCTGGACGCACTAATCTGACTGTCCACCGGGTGCAGACAGGGTCGCACCCGCCGATAAGATGCTCCCCCTTCCGAGTCACAGGGAAAACTGCTCAGGACCTGGAAAGAGAGGTCCGGGACATGCTGGCTTTGGGGGTGATCCAGCCATCTGCCAGCCCTTGGGCCTCGCCGGTGGTGCTGGTCCCCAAAAAGGACGGGTCGGTCCGGTTCTGCGTGGACTATCGGAAGCTCAATGCCATCACTGTATCTGATGCCTACCCCATGCCCAGGCCGGACGAGCTCCTAGACAAGCTGGGAGGAGCTCGGTACCTCACCACCATGGACCTTACAAAGGGCTACTGGCAAGTGCCGCTGGATGCAGGTGCCCGGCTGAAATCGGCCTTTATCACCCCTCTGGGGCTCTATGAGTTCCTGACCCTGCCTTTCGGCCTCAAGGGAGCGCCGGCCACCTTCCAGCGCCTGGTGGACCAGCTCCTGAGGGGGATGGAGAGTTTTGCCGTGGCGTATATTGATGACATCTGTGTCTTTAGCCAGACCTGGGAGGACCACGTGTCCCAGGTTAGACAAGTGCTGGACCGACTCCAGGGGCTGGGCTGACTGTAAAAGCGGAGAAGTGCAAGGTGGGGATGGCGGAAGTGTCTTACCTGGGCCATCGGGTGGGGAGCGGCCGCCTAAAGCCGGAACCAGCCAAGGTGGAGGTGATCAGAGACTGGCCCGCTCCCCACACCAAAAAGCAGGTCCAAGCCTTTATTGGGATGGCAGGATACTACCGAAGATTTGTGCCTCACTTTAGCGCCATAGCCACCCCCATCACTGAGCTATGCAAGAAGGGGAAGCCAGACAAGGTGGTCTGGACCGAGCAGTGCCAGGAGGCTTTCCGGGCACTGAAGGAGGCTCTGGTCAGTGGCCCAGTTCTGGCAAACCCAGACTTTGACAAGCCCTTTGTGGTGTTCACCGACGCCTCCGACACGGGACTGGGGGCGGTGTTAATGCAGGAGGATGAAAAGGGGGAGAGACACCCCATCGTGTACCTGAGCAAGAAGTTGCTACCCCGGGAGCAACACTACGCGGCCATCGAGAAGGAGTGCCTGGCCATGGTGTGGGCCCTCAAGAAACTAGAGCCCTATCTCTTCGGGCGGCACTTCACCGTGTACACCGACCACTCGCCCCTGACCTGGCTGCACCATATGAAAGGAGCCAACGCCAAGCTCCTGAGATGGAGCCTGCTCCTGCAGGATTACGACATGGACGTGGTCCACGTGAAGGGAAGTGCCAACCTGATAGCGGATGCGCTGTCCCGGAGAGGGGGCCCCGAACTTCCCCAGGTCACTGGTCACAGTGACCCCGCTCAGTTCAGTTCGAAGGGGGGAGAGATGTGACGATGTGACTCAGCAGGGAGGGGGAGTGTTGACCTGGGAATGTGCCCTGGGGATGGGAGACCTGAGAGCCTGTCACCTGAGCCAGGAGGGGGAGGGGAGGTGACACCTCTGCCCAGGAATGTGAACAGAGGCTGCAGCAGGGAACCTGCGGGGTGAGTTTAGTTGGCAGTTTGGAGGCTGGGGGGAGGAACACAGGGAACCCCAGGGCTGGGGTCTAAGCTCCCTGCTCCCCCCAGAAGGACGTGATTGAGGGGTCCTGGTTGTACCCACAAGCTCTGTTGTGGACTGTGTTCCTGTTGTCCAATAAACCTTCTGTTTTACTGGCTGGCTGAGAGTCTCAGTGGATCCCAGGAAGAGGGGTGCAGGGCCTGGACTCCCCCACACTCCGTGACAGCTTGTATGGCTAAACTTTCACAGAATCCTTCCACAGCAAATTTAGATGCAGCATAAACATCATTGAACAAAATACCTGAAGGCAAAAACAAAATAGTTACAGATCATGTTAAGATCATTTTAAGTTTTTGAGGGGCTTATATTTCCTAAAATATAAGCTGTTTGTGGTTATGAGAGCATGAAAAAAATGCTCCTGATTTATGTTGTGCTAATTCAAGTTATGAAGACGTTAAAACCACTCCTATTAAATGCACTGGGGTGACCAAGCCTTTTTTTGTTTGTTTTTTTTTGCATACCTGCTGAGCAGCGATTGTCTCCTTTGCACCCTGACTATTATGATCCCTAGGTGCCATTGGCAACTGGCACAGGTTAGAGCAGCCTTCAAGCTGTTCCTTGGCCAAAGCAGAGGATCTAGTGCATGGTATTTATGCTAGATATTTTGTTGTCTAATACAGCGATCTACATGTGTAATACAATCTGCAGCATTTGGCATGGCAGCTGTGTTGCAATGCAAGCAAGAGATCTAAGATTTAAAAGATTTGGATTTTTCACTTCTTGGTGACTCGGAGGAGGCAATATACAACCCTCTAAGATGGATGGTGAGCATCATGTTGCTCATTAGCAACTCTTAGTAGCCAAGGCCTTGACCCTATAACTGCCCACTCGCATGAATAATCCATATGTGAGAGGCCTATTAAAGTTATTGAGAAGATGCATACAAGTAAGTTTATGCAGGGTGGAGCACCAAATTAAGAGCAACATTATCTGGCTCTAAAGTGAGGTCCATTTGATGTTTCCCCTTTGGGGGTTAGTGGCAACACCTGGGTGTCTAGTAAGAGGGAAAGCCTTACAGAAAGAAAATACTGATTTGATAGTCTGGGATATGGAGGACTTGGGACATGGAGGACTCCAATGGAGGTGGGAAAGGACCTACTGATCAAACAATTAGAATATTTCAGTGTAGAACTGTTGATTCCATCTTTTTGTTCTGTTTTTTTTTTTTTTTGTGGGGGGCAGAGAGAGAGAGCAGTGTTGGAAGACCAACTTTGTATATACTGCTTGGAATATTTTCCTGTGTCAAATATGTGAATTACTAACAGACTGCATATGTACTAAATCTTTTGAAGGCAGAGCTTTTTTTTAAAGCTAGTTTCACAAAATACCTGTGCATAAAAAAAGTGTATTAAAATGTGTTGGTCTTTCCTGCATAGTCCCTTCAAGCAAGACACAGAGACAAGTTTCCACATGAAATCACTTTGTGAAAAGAGCAAAGTGCTACTTTCCAGAAAACTCAGACACCGTTATTATGGTCCTAAATCTGCCAGCTTTACTCACAAGCAGTAGTACTTTACTCTGCAAGTAGTCCCATTAAAATTAAATGAGAGTACTGACATAATATATTACTCAGTGTGAGTAAGAATGTAGAACTGAAGCCCATGTTTGTAAATTGGAAACAATAACTTCATATACTAGATCGCATTCACATTTTTCTGAACTGAAAAATGTGAGTTTTAAATTACAAATAATTAGTACATAATAATACTTTGCCTTGTATTCCCATTACACTACTTATTATAACTATATGTCCACTCTTTCTCTTCTTCATATCAGGTAAAATCTCCTTCAAAAGGCGAACCAATCCGAAGAAGTTTGTGTCCATCACAGTTCTCATCTCATCTATGGTCTGGCATTCAATAGGTCCAATGAGCCCCATTCCAGCATTGCTAACTGTACAGATGCAAAACACAATAGTGAGTAGTAACGGCAATAAATATTAACTTAGCACTTTCACTGGAAAACACGTGGTATAAATGAGTGACTGGAATAAGGGATTAAAACACACAAGAGCAATTAGTTATTCAGCTTTTCACTGAAACCTTGAGATTACATTTGACATGGAATGTCTTTGCTTTTACTCAAATACATTTTAAAATATCTGCTATTCTGAAGTTTTTCTTGTTTATTTCTGATTTATGCCTTACTTTTTTTCTTTAAATCAGGAAAAGGTAAGGGAAAAAATGAGCAAAAACTTCCCTATGATATTTGCTTATAATTCAGTATTAAGAATTAGGGGCCCAATCAAGTCAAATGGCATCTCAGTTTACTTCACTGGGTATTGGATCAGGCCTTAGTATGTTTGTTTGATATTTTTGGTCTACTTTGTGTTTAGCGCCTCATAATGTCAGTTTATTTTTTTTAAAAATGAACTGGCATTGGGGGTTGAGAACTTTGTCACTATGTGGGGGTCAAAAGAAGATTCCATTTGAGTGCTTGTGGTTTCAAAAATCCAGAATGGTCATGCCATAATATGAACACTTGTTAGTAAGAAGTGGAATGTCAAATTGGAGCATAGTGCAATTTGCAGAAAATCATGTTAATTTTTACCTTGCTGTTCTGCTGCTCCCCTATCATCTCCCCCCAAAAGGCAGGCTCTGCTTCCTCTTAGCCAAGATTTAAAAGCTGAGGGTGTAGTTAGTTGCCATATTATGTTATAATTTATTTTTACAAAATATATTACAGAAAATTTACTAGTAAAGTATAAAATAAAATGGAACTATAACTGTTATTAGAAATTAACCATGTGCATTTGATGATGCATTAGTCTTTTAATTATTTATTCACTTACTTGCTAATTCACAAGGGATCACCCTATTGTTAGAGCAAATAAATAGGGGTCTACTGTGTTCAGAGGGTAGAGGTGGTCTTAGGTCTCAAGTGCAGGATGGAGAATCAGGAGATCCAAGTTCTGTTCTCAGCCTTGCCACTGACCTACTGGATGATTTTGTAGAAGTTATTTGATCTCTTTGTGCCTGAATTCAATTAATTAGTATTTGTAAAATGGCTTGAGAACCTTGAATGGAAGACGTTATAGAAGTGTACTGTATTATTGGTTTTATTCATATATTTATACTTAAATCCATAAACATTTTTAGAAAGAATAATATGTTACAGAAACATCTCTGAAATATTTAAAGGACCCTTAAATTAAATCTTGTATCCTGACTTCTTGTCCATCTTTCATTTGTGTTCATTACTTGCCTAATATATCAATCCTTCTGTCAGGGATGCTACTGACGCAAGTTTTAATAGACTCTTCATTGCAGACATCCAGTTGTTTAATTTCCAGGGTTTTACCCAAGGTTTTGCCTGCAGCTTCTGCAAGTTTGTCCTTCCTGGTCAGATTCCTCATGGTAGCATACACTGTAAAGTATTATAAATAAGTAATCAGAAATGTAACTACAGAGAAAGCTTTTCCTTTGAGAATGACAGGAGACACAAGTTACAGTGCATACAACCTTTAAGTCCGTATTTTAGTGCTTAGATATCTTGGTGATAGGGCCTTGATAACAACCTAAAACAGAATGTATTTTAAATTTTTATATAGTGCTTCTAACTTTCCTAAATCAGATTTTGGGAAGGAGCAAATGGAGAAATAAACCACTTATACAGCCACGTTCATAGCTATGTGTTTTTATTTCTATATCAATTAGGGAAGATACGGTAGAAAAACTAAGCCCAAGATTTTAAATAACGGGTGCCAAAGTTAGGCTCCTAAGTCCACATTTAGGCACCTAAATAATGAGTTAGAAGCCTATCTTTAGGCACTCATTTTTGAACATCACAGCCAGTGTATTTAGAAAAGCAGCCAGGATTTTACATGGGAGTGAAACAAATGATTCCTCAGACTGCAGAATTGTTTTGCAAGATATTTATCATCGTATAGATCAGCTTTAATATTACTGTGACTTAATTACTCTAACTTCCATAAATCCATACAATTGTTCCCTGGTGAATAAGACACAGAGAGTAAACCTGATCTGAATTGCTAAATTTATTTAGTCAGCTACATACAATTGCAGCAAATATTTCTGTTTTGTAAGGCAGACAGTGAAACCAAGTTTTCCCTCTCCTCCCTCATGGGAGTAAATGCAAGGAAGAAATACTGAATCCTGCCTCTCAGAAACAAATTGCTAATTTAATTAAGGGCTCCCAGACACAATGTTTCTCCTCCTAAAATTAGGAATTGCATTTACACCAACAAAACTTTGCTAAGTGCCAAGTAAAGCTATCTGCAGTTGTGTGAAGGACTAACCTGTAAAAAGGTACATTTATTTAGTGTGCTGCAAATGCATTTTTGTTTTTTTAATTTAAAAAGTTTCCATTTTTATACCACTGCTACATTTATCATCTGTTAATTCAGATAAACATTTCATTTCAGTACAGTTACAGAACTGCCATCTGTTCGCAAAAATTAGTACATTTGATTGCATTGTATCTTCCTGTCAGGGAAAGGGAAAATTAATAAGAGTGGCGGAGAAGGGAAGCTAAACAGAATTCAGGTACAGACTGGTGAAAATCTATCCATAAGACGGTGAGACACTCAGCACTTAGCACAGTCCACTCTGTTACATCACAAAATGAAAGTGACTAACAACATGGAAGATACAGTACTGTGTGATATTAATTTCAGAAATATCATTACCTTTAAATCTTTTCTGTTCATCTCTGGCCATTTTTACAGCCAAGGCCAGTCCGATTCCTGAGGAGCAACCTGTGATGAGTACAGTTTTCTGAGCCATTATTTTCAGCTGGACGGCAGCAGATATAGTGGGAAGTCTTGCTACTCTGATGAACAATCACCTAAATGTTGTGGCTACAGCTGAGTATTACTGACCCTTTATGCTTTATTTACAGCTTCACTGAGCCAACAAAACTGAAAATGCACACCTGGACATTGTATGATTAGGGGGATAATCTCCAACTGGACACTAATAAATAGGAGCAGATGCTTCTGCATGTATACATAATCTGGATCAGAGGCTACTCTATGTACAGGCAAACTAGGCAGCTGCCAAGGGCAGTAGATTTGGTGTGGCCACTCCTCTGTCAGGATGCAGGGGCGACTGGGCCAAATTTGGGTGGCACGGAAGAAGGCACACTGACATTTACCTAGGGTGGAAAATTGTCTTGAACTGCCTCTGATGGGGATCATCAATGTACAGTACATTCAACACAATTACAACATCCATTTTAAAATCTTGCAAAACATTTGTGCCAAAAAGTTTTAAATAGTTGAATAATTAGGCCATGCATATCGGGGGAGGGAGGTGGAGTCACCATCTCCTCCTGTCATACTCCGCTGCCTCTATCACAGCCCCCATGGGGGAGTACCCACAAGTCATGCACAAGAGAGTGATGACTAGTGATCTATGCAATCACAGATAAACTATCCACCCCTACTTTACCCTCCACATTGGGGTACGAAGGGTGCACATGAAGCATAGCTCCCTGCTGTTCAGGCCTAGCTTCCTCCCTGTTTGTTTGTGTAACAGGACAACACTTATCCAAATTATAGACCAATCTCTCCACAGCCACAGTGGTGAGGTCAGATTTTGTCCCTCAAAGAGGCACACAAGGATTTAACCACACAATGCCAATTGACGATATATTATTGAATGTTTGCAACTAAAAGTCCTAATAGAACATCTGGAAGAAGTGAAATGGAAAAAGGAGTGTGGCTTTGAAGAGAGAGACAGAAAGATGACTGAACGCTCTTGAGAGTTTTCCCAATGTTCCACTTGCCTCTGCTCCAATCCAAAACATTTTATGTTTGTTTTTTTCCCTATTTTTGCAGCTTTCCCTTGTTATTTGCAGTTTGCCTCCTTTCCCGTTAGAGTTTCCAATGCTTTTACCTTTCCTTTTTAGTAAATTTTTATATTACTATTCATTTATAACAAAACATGATAGTCATATGGAGAAAAGCTTAATTTACATGTATAGTCACATATTTAAGTCTTTCACTAAAATATAAAGGTTACTCACCTGTAACCAGAGTTGTTTGAGATGGTCTCTGCCTATTTATGCTCATGGGATGTGCCAATTGCATGCAGTTTAGACAGTGGAATTTAAGCAATGATTGTTGGAACACTCCTCTGCCCTCTTTCTTACTCCGCCAACGTTTGCAAACATCCTGAGGGCAGTTATAAGAAGGGGCGTAGAGCTCCAACCACCTCAGTTCCTTCCACCACTCAGTCAGGTTCCATTTAGAAATTAGGACTCCAAGGAAGAGGGTAAGGTGGGCAGGGGAATGTGAATACGCATAGCAAATCTCACAGTTCCAGTTCCAGGTAAGTAACCTTCATTTCTTCCTCTAGTGAGCAACTTCTGCATATTCTCACTCATGGAATAGTTTAAAAAACCGTAAGCTCGTAAGGAAGGATCTGGAGTCGTAATTAAACAGAGACTGCAGAACTGCTCTGCCAAATCTAGCATTTTATTTGGATACCAAGTCTAGAGAAAGTACGAACAGAACCCAAGGTTGCCGCCTTACATATAGTAATAGCCATGTTTTACAAACTAGTCGGGGATTGAGGAATTTAAAATGGAAAAGTTCATAAAATTGAACATCTCAAAGTTACAGTAAATGTGCATAAGTTGCAGTATAGTGCACTGCATCACTTTGTCTTTCAAATCACAGTGAAACCATTTCCAATACACTGAAGGCATTGGAATGTGAAGCAGTGTTGACTTGTTCTTCATCAACATCACTTTCATATGATTTTTTATCCCTGCTTTGAAAAATAGTTTGTCACTGGTCTTTTGTAAGACTGGCTGGCATTTGTAAAATTAAATCTGTAAGGTATTTCAGTGAGTGGGGCATAGATGCTGCTTTGGTTGTAGTGGAATGGGCTCTAATCCCTTAAGGGAGAGAGACTGGTGCTAAATTATAAAACTTGTGGATATATAATTAAACCCATTTAGAAATTATTTGGCCCTTTTTTCTGCCTAAATAAGGGAGAGTACACTAAGATTTTTAAAATGTACCAAAACTATCTAAAACCTATTGAAGTGTTGGTCTGAAAGGCACTGAAGAGAAGGTTGATGGATTGAGCATTTTCTGAACTGTCAGCTAGATGTGATAGAATGGAACGGAGGGAGCTCAGCTGGAGTGCCACACTCCCTTTTTATAACATAGCTCTCAAAACATTCACAAATGGTGAGTAGAGGGGCACATTAGATATTTTAACTGCTAGTTCCACAGTCTAAACCACACCTGGCCAGCACATCCCATGAGTGGAAATATGGAGAGGCCACTCAAAGTGCTATTAAGTGAATTGAGGCAGTGAATAAACAGCAATTAAGCAAATAAAGACACCATTTCAGAGGGCATTGTAAGAAAGGGAATTCATAATGCACCAGGTCTAACACAAGTAGTTGTTGGGTATTTGATCAGGAGAGTGATAGTTCCCCAACAGCAGCCGAATCAGAGAGGGGGAAGTAACTCCCTGGTTGATTTCCCTCCATCTTCATCAGTGAAAGAAGAGAAGAGCCACACCCAGAAGAAGTGAAAATAAAGAGATATCCTAAGGCGGTTACAAGACAAGCGCTGTAGCAGAACAGTTCTAACGGTTACTCAGATGCAAAAGCCCTTTGCATTTTGCTTCCTGAACAGGCTGAAGGAACTCGCATGCCTTGAGATCTTACTACCAAAAACAAAAAAACTTACACACAAACAGGTTTGGCTGAAAAGTTTGGATTAGATCTGAATTCCTCCAAAATTTGGGGGCATTTAGAGCTGGGAATTTAGTATGGGTCCACCCTTAATGTTACAATATGTCCATATACATGGTTAACAAATAGATAAATTACAAGTTAGTAAGAAATATTTGAGTGGGTCTCTTGCAACTTTAGAGCTACATAAAATGATACTAACAGTTACACTTCTAAATAGCATTCAGGATGACAATGCTGTCCAGGATACACAGAACAAGAATATTTTCCAAGAATCAATAATCCCATATTATCTAATACAGTTTGGAAAAGTGCACTCAATGTTCCAGTATCGTTAATAACCATTTTATATAGGCATATAAAGAAATGACTTGTTTAGATCCCTACTAAAGTGAAATTATGGTTTGGTACAGGCTTTCCCTACTTTCCAAACTAATAAAAATACATTTGCTAATGTAACAAGCAGAATAACTAGCTTTTCAAATAAGGCACAAGATGACATCTAAAATGAATGAGCTAAATGTAATTATAATTTAACCTTGGCTATCAGGTTTGATCCTGACTTCACTAGGGAAAGCAAATGGCCAGATAAAAAATTTCAGCTCACGCTGTATTTAGCTGATTCAGCTATTAGACAAAATGCTTTCGCTGTTCATGCACATTTATATTTAGCACCTG